AGAGAGAGAGAGAGAGAGGGAAAAAGAGACAGAGAGAGAAGTATAGGCATAGACAAAGACAGACGGATCGCCACTTCTTGCCGCCCCCAGGGGACCGGATGGTGCTTCGACTTCGAGGCATTCAAGAAGCAATACCTGGCAACGCAGTGCGCCTTGATGCTGAAAACGCCCGTCCCCGCCCCAGAACTTCAGTCGAACACAAGGCAAGCAGTCGCCGGCCCATGAACCGCACTGTGCGTCTGCACGAAACCCAACGAGGCCGGAATGATCAAAATCGACGAGGCTCCACGTCAAGCTTTCGACGGCGGCGATTGCTTGTGGGCTCACCTTGTGCCCTTCACCGACAACGCACATGTGCCGCACCACCGAGGCTTGGAAGACGCATCCGACGACATCCCGGAGACGCAGGTCGGCCAGTCGCCCAAGTGGACAGCAGCGGGTGCACCGACTCAAGAAGGCACTGCTTTAAGGTTCGAAAACAACGCTTGAAAGACTCAGAGACTTTGCAGTCAGTCTGCAGGCTCCCGGGCCGGCACCACCGAAGCCACCAAAGTGGACGGCCGAAGACGAGTCCGTGCTCGAAAATGCTTTCCAACTAGCAGAGGCGTGGCACCAGTTTATAGCCTAATTCAGCCGCGCAGCTCCTCGATCACTGCGGTTGCAGGCGGAAAGGAAAGCTTCGTCGCAGCACCCCGATCCGGTGGACCCTCCTCGTGGGCATCGTGGCGCTGCACCACGACGGGGCGGTGCCAATTCGAAGGCCACGGAACAAAGCGGGCCCAGCATCGAGGCAGGCTGGCTTTCGACTTGCTCGCAAGATAAGTTGCTAGTCTTCTTCCATAGCCAGAAGCATTTAACTACATATGGCCACATACCTCAAAGCCAAGCACTTGATGTTTCAGCCCACGTAAAGATATAGAGCTCCCGACAGGGTGACCCCAGCAACGCGCGACAGGAGCACTTCCACGGGACCTTGTCGCTGAAAAAGATGAGGGGCGACGGCAATTGCCTCTTTCACGCGCTCGCAGACAAGAGCCGGGAACGTGGAGCCGACTTGCGAGAGCAGATCACGCACTTCCTGGAGCAGAACGCGGTGCACCAAGACCACGAAGAACAAGCAGACGCCTGGCTTCGAGAGGCCGACTACCTTCGGAGCGATCCCTACAACTGGGGAGGGGACACGGCCATTGTGGCGTTCAGCCTGATGAGACAGCAAAGGATCACGCTGCACATGCGCGGCGAGGACGGCATCATCCAGTCCATCGACCGCACCCACGAAGATGTGTCACCAGCTGGCGCCAAGCGCTCAGCTGCGCGTGGGCGCACTCCCACGGCTTCCCCACCGAAGAGATCAAGCGCTTCATCCTCAACTACGCCTTCGTGTACTGCCTGCCCCGATCGCTGCAGCCGGACAACGACCTCGCCGCCAACAGCGACAACGAGGACCTGAAGGACCAGGTGTACCATTTCGAGGAGGACGAGCTTCAGGAGGCCATCAAGACGCGAGTGCGAGGGGCAGGCGACGCCCAAGCGGCCGACGAGCATGCAGCTCCGGACCAGGAGGAGGAGCCGCCCATGACCAGCACCCAGCACGACCTCACCATGCAGATGATCAACCTGTCTCAGAAGTGCTGGCTGGGGCCCGCGTTCCTGAACACGGAGACCACACAGCAAGCGGCCAGAACCTTCCTGCAACGCGCCAGGGACAGCGCAAGAATCGACGACGCCGACCAGATGAAGGCCGCCGCCCAGGCTTCCCGCACCAAGCGGGCCGGCAACCCACTTCCGGCTCCCAGACCCGGCCTGGCCGGCGCCAACCGACCGCCCGCCACCAAGAAGACTGGAGAAATCAGCGCTGCGAGGCTGCGCAAATGGCTGGACAGCAAGGCCGTCCGGAGCAAGCTCAACGCCGAGCAGCACGAGTTCCTCAGCCTGGTCGTGGAGCGCGTGCTCGTGGAGTGCAACCTGGCCGAAGCGAGGGATACCGTCAGGAAGAGCGAGGAGCCGCTGGTGTGGCTGCTGCACGGCCGCCCCGGCACCGGCAAGTCCCACGTGCTGAAGTTCGTGCGCGAGCTCTTCGAATTAAGACTGGGCTACGTGCAAGGCATCGACTTTGTATTCGCTGCCTTCCAGGCCACGAACGCCCAGGACATCGATGGCGAGACGCTCCACGGGGCCTTCGGCATCAGCCAAAACAGCAGAAGTCTCCTGCACACGGCCTGCGCGCCGGACACGTCCAAGCGCATTGCCTTGTGGCGTTGGCTCGTCGTCGACGAGGTGGGCATGATCAGCGCGCGGCTGCTGGCACAAGTGGAGGTGCGTACGCAGGGGTGCGTGCCCGCCGCAAGCCGGTGGAAGCACGACGCCGCCGGCAACGCCAGACCCTTCGCGGGGCTCAACGTTATCTTCAGCGGCGATTTCTGGCAACTTCCACCGCCCGAAGGAGGCTTTATCGCGGACCTACCCGCCAAGCTCCAGGCTCCGGGCAAGGCCGCCACGGCGGGCCAGCAGCGGGACCCCCTCGTCGAGCACGGCCGCAGCCTCTTCTGGGGCGGCGCGGTGCAGGGCGTCACCGAGTTGCACGAGCGCTTGAGGTGCAAGGACGGGTGGTGGAACGAGGTGCGCCGTGCGTCGGTGTGTGTTGAGTTCACATTATGCTGCGAGTTCTAGTTTCCAATCGTAGCACATACGCGCCCAGGTCGTTGACGAAATGAGGGACGGAAGGCTCTCGGAGAAGAACTACAAATACCTCCACGGCAAGCGGGTGGAAGGCTGCACCCTCTCCCTAGAGGAGCGGCGATCTCGACAGCGCGTCCTGGTGGACGGCCCCTGCGACCAACGCCTCAGCGAGGAGAAGTTCCTGAACGCCACCGTGGTCGTGGCGAACAACGACGCCAAATACCAAATCAACAAAGATCGTGCCAAAGCCTATGCCCTGGCCGCCGACACACCACTGACCTGGTCCGTGGCCAAGGACCGAGCCGGCGCGGAAGCGCTCCAGACCCAGGCCTGCGACAACCAGGCGAAAGTCCGATGGCTGCAATACCATGACATGGACACGGAGGGTCTCTGCGGCATGCTTCCCTTGGCCGTCGGCATGCCTGTAGCGCTGACACACCACGTGGATCGCTCAAGGAAGTCGCTCTTGAAGGGCCGCAGAGGCCACGTGCATTCTTGGGACTGGCTCGAGAACGACCAGCAACCGAGTGTGGTGCACCCCGGCCAAACGATAGATAGAATGATAGAAGCAACAACCACGACTTTGAATTGCATACGGCAAACCCCAAGAGCGGAACCCGTGCCAAGGTACGTGAAGTTCGAAGATGCCGACTGGAAGCTCGACGGCACGAAGGAGATGGGTCTCTACCCGATCGCGCGGACCACGCGAAACTGGAAGCTGGACAAGAACCGGAGGCCACCGAAGCTTGGAGTCGACCGGGCGCAGATCCCGCTCGTGCCGGCCTTCGCGATCACGGCCCACGCCAGCCAAGGCAAGACGCTGCTGCTCGACCGCACACAGCACGTGACGGGAAGCCGGTAGATACCTAACACCGGCACGTGTGCAGCCCAGAGTGACCAGGACGGCCGTCCTGCTCGACCTGAACGTGGATTCCAGGACCCACGCAGCCTACGGCACCGTGGTGGCGAGCCGGGTCCGGAGCAGAGAGGACTTGCTCATCCTGCGGCCCTTCCCGCTCTGGCTCTTCCAGCGCGGAAGGCCCCGGGCTGCTCCTCCGCAGGCTGCGAGGCGACCACATTGACTGGGACGCCCTCCACGAGGCACGCTGGCCCAGCGCCCCCTGCCAGATGTGCAAAGAGCTAAAGAGCTGGGACCTGTTTGCGCACGCACAGTGGGAGCTCATTCGCTCGAACCGTGATGCGAAGTGCTTGAAATGTCAGCGAGCCGAAAACCCGAAGGGCCCCGTGAAGCGAGGCATCAACGAAAAGGCCGCCTGGGCCAAGAGCGTCCCATGCACTCTGTGCCAGGTAACGAAAGTCGAGGAAGCATTCCCAAGGGCACAGCTGGCGCAGACGGACGCCAAAAACAAGCGCCAGTGCTCGGCTTGTCGCCTGGGCCTGACCGAACTGACCTGCGTCGCGTGCGGTCAGAAGAAGCATTGGAACCGCTTCTCTCCTTGCACGCGCACCCTCCCGGACGATGCAATTGCCTGCAAAGACTGCCAACATCACCTCGCCGGCAAAAGCAAGCGGCTACGCAGCGGCTGGTTCATGTGCAGGGGATGTAAGGAAAGCTTCCTCAGCGAAGCCTTCGGTAGTGCTTGCGGAGACCATTGCCTGAACTGCTCCCAGCGCACTTCACGCAGAACGGGCTGGCACACATGTTGGAACAGAGGGTGCAAAAAGCTGTTCCAAAGCTCGGAAAGAGGCTTGTGCCCGGAATGCCAACCGAGAGCAAGGCCCCACCGGAAGAAGAACCAGACCTACTGAGGCAGCCCACGTTTCACCATCTCCAGGCCAGGCCAGGTACAGCGGCCAGAGACAGTGGACTAGTCGGGCACAGGAGTTGAAAAAGCAACAAACTTGGCAGGTGGAGTGCGCTGCCAGTCCAGCTGTGCAAGAACATGAAGCATGTGTGAAATGTGTGCAAGACATAAAAGCCGACTCCCACTGCAGGCACATGGCTCGATTCCGAAGCGCAATAGACAGTGCAGGT